TGGGCCACACACCTGTACACACATTCACCTACACACACACTTATACACACAGGCCTGGGCCACACACCTGTACACACATTCACCTACACACACACACTTATACATACAGGCCAGGGCCACACACCTGTACATACATTCACCTACACACACACACTTATACACACAGGCCTGGGCCACACACACCTGTACACACACACACACCTACTGTACACACACACCTATACACACAGGCCAGGGCCACACACACCTACTGTACACACACACCAAGACATCTATACACACGCACACACACCTATACATACACACATAAACACACACCTAAACATACAAGCACACACAGAAACACACATGCACAATCATACACATGTACGCACACACACCTATACACACACACACAAGCACACACAAAAACACACAATGTACTCACAGATGCACACACATACACACACCTACACAAACACATGGACAGAGCTGCGTTGAATGTCACACCTATATCCACACAGGCTGATGAGCTGCTATTTCATCTACTTATTGCTCTTGCAGCGAAAGCACAGTAGCTCACGCTGGCAGCTCCACAACGCCCTACAACAGCACATCCCAAGGTCACCTTGAAATACACAGCCCTTATCTTTAAATGTATCCCTGTATCCTTTCCCAGTGCCATGTACTGTACAGAAATATCTATATTCCAGGTGCTCTCCTAGGCTCAAAGGAATGCCCTGAACCAACAGGCAACACAAACTGAATCCTTCTTGCCTAGGACAGGGCAGAGAAGACGTGATCCAAGTACTCAAGCAGACTGTGACAGAATGAATGGTGAAATACCAACTAGAGGGGTGAAGCACATTTAAAACTGAGAACAGGAGGCAGAGGCAGAGCTCCAGAACATTACAGAGAGCAACCTTAGCACAGACGTGGTGTATGAGCCACACAAGAACACTAACAGTGCAGTACAAATCTGACATTACTGATGTAATGGCTCAGAGTTCCCCATTTCCAGGTCTTTAAACCCTGCAAGGCTGTGGTTTTTCTGGCACCAGGGATATCCTTGAGCTTAAAGCAATTTAAGAGCCCCAATTAATCAAATGTTTAACTAAATGCTGGAAACCCGGTGGTGAAGACCAGGAGAGGCCGCTGTCTCTCGTGAGGATTGGATTTGGGGGGCCTGTGGCTCAGACAGATCGACAGCAAGAGCTCCTCTGTTGCCCCAGCAACAGGGCGGGGCATCTCGTAAATCACAATCACGTGCCTCGGCTCAGCTACAGGAAAGCACAGAGATTCTGGCCCATAAAGATGATGAAGGGTTTCGTCTGGCTCCCTGGCCTGTTTGTCAATAAACTACCATCATATGGATCCATTCAATTAGGAGGAGGAGGCTTCTCCCGAACCATAAACTCAGGGCTTGCAGTAAATCAGGCCAGGCTGACAGCAGCTCTCGGCCGGCCCCGGGGCCTCACATGCCAGGCTGGTGAGAGGACGCTGCTTCCGTGACACAGACTTCGGTTTGAAAGAGCCCTTAAGACCCTCCCCTGAGACACAGCCACCTTTTCCGCCTTGTTTCCAGCACAGTATCTTATCTTATCTTCAGCCCAAGTCCATCTTTAAGCCATTATCAGTGTCACTGTGCTGCGGGGCAATTAAACCCGAGGCTGCTAATGAGTATTTGGCACAGCTCCCGCGAGACCCTCGCAGACTCAGCTCTGACAGCCCTGTGACGGGACTCAGCCATGCCATCAGCGAGGTCCTCTACAGCTGCTGCAGCCCCCTTCTTCTCTGGCGGTAGTGTTGCTAGTCTGGTCCAGCAGACAGCCCTGGGAAGGGAGACCCCCAACACCATACCTGTCCGAGTCCTGTACGATGAATGATGTGGATTTGAGGGCCCCTCTGTTTTAAAATGGCTGGCGTGTTGGTGTCGCAGGGTGTTAACGAGATCTTCCTGTTAGAGGGATGGAGGGAGTCTCATAGCAACCGTCTTCTTCAAACTGACGTGGCGGTTCTGCAGAGCGGCCAGTTTATCAGGAGTCAGGGTGAAACAGACCCCATAATTTCAGTGAACTTGTTCAATTAGCCAAAACACGGATATCAAGGTAAAACAGAAAAAGATAAGGAGGATGGGTAGTTAAAGAGGGATAATTAAAGGAGTCCCAGTCTTTTCTGCCCGAAACTTATTAGGCACTGCGGTAATTAATTTTACTATGCCAGCTAATTAATAAAATGACATCCCCTCTGTGCAGCTGTCCCTTGTGGAACACTCTCTCCTCTCTGGTGGGAGAGCAGGCCGCTCTGCCCCAGCGCCGCATTGCTGGCAGAGCTCGAAAGCTGTCCTGGGCAGGTAGAGAGAGAGGCAGCGGTTGGCTACACCGTGTCTCTCTGCAGGTTTATTCAGTACATGCACGCCCCTGGTACGAGCAGTACCGCTACTCAGAGATCAGACGGCCCTCACACAGCAGGAGGAAAAGCATGCATGGTCCTGACTTAAAGATGCCCATTGCTAAGAAAACAACAGCGCTAACATCACTCCTCTCTTCTCCTTTCTCTCCCTTCTGTCCCCGTCTCCTCCTCCCTCTCCTCTCTCCTGCAGTCCCGGATGGCGGAGAGCCTGCGCCTCTTTGACTCCATCTGCAACAACAACTGGTTCATCAACACATCGCTCATCCTCTTCCTCAACAAGAAGGACCTGCTGGCAGAGAAGATCAAGCGCATCCCGCTGACCGTCTGTTTCGCCGAGTACAAGGGCCAGAACACCTACGAGGAGGCGGCCGTCTACATCCAGAGGCAGTTTGAGGACCTCAACCGCAACAAGGAGACCAAGGAGATCTACTCGCACTTCACCTGCGCCACCGACACCAGCAACATACAGTTCGTGTTCGACGCTGTAACGGACGTCATCATCCAGAACAACCTGAAGTACATCGGGCTGTGCTAGGAGGGGGTGGGAGCCGCCGCCGCTGCCCGCTGCTGCTGTCGCTAACGCCACTGCCGCCACGCCGCACCCACGACCGCCGGGCACACGGCACAGAACAAGCAGGGACTGGGGAAACCGGCCAGGACGCGTCTGGACAGAGACTTGACACACACACACACGCGTGCTCGCTTTCGTATCGTTTGGGAAAAAGGACTGGGGTGACGCGATAAGAGGGGCTGAGAACGAGAAAACTGGACTTCTGCACCGCAAATACACACACTGCAGATACACACACTGCAGATACACAATCACACACTGCAGATACACACTCAGCAGATACACACTCACACAGCAGATACACACTCACACTGCAGATACACACACTGCAGATACACACTCACACACTGCAGATACACACTCAGCAGATACACAATCACACACTGCAGATACACACTCAGCAGATACACACTCACACAGCAGATACACACTCACACTGCAGATACACACACTGCAGATACACACTCACACTGCAGATACACACTCACACACTGCAGATATACACACTGCAGATACACACTCACACAAAGCAGATACACACTCACACACTGCAGATACACACACTGCAGATACACACTCACACACTGCAGATACACACTCACACAAAGCAGATACACACACAGCAGATACACAGACACACTGCAGATGCACATTCACACACTGCAGATACACACACTGCAGATACACACTCACACACTGCAGATACACACACTGAAAATACACACACTGCAGATACACACTCACACACTGCAGATACACACTCAGCAGATACACACTCACACACTGCAGATACACACACAGCTACACACTCACACACTGCAGATACACACACTGCAGATACACACACAGCAGCTACACACTCACACAAAGCAGATACACACTCACACACTGCAGATACACACACTGCAGATACACACACTGCAGATACACACTGCAGATACACACTCACACACAGCAGATACACACACACTGCAGATACACACACAGCAGATACAAACACTGCAGGTACACACTCACACACTGCAGATACACACTCACACACTGCAGATACACATTCACACACTGCAGATACATACACAGCAGATACACACATAGAAAATAAACACACTGCAGATACACACTCACACACTGCAGATACACACTTCAGATATTCACATTGCAGATACACACTCACACCTTGCAGATACACACACTGCAGATACACACTCACACACAGCAGATACACACACACTGCAGATACACACACAGCAGATACAAACACTGCATATACACACTCTCACACTGCAAATACACACTCACACTGATACAGACCCAAACTTCCTCTCACACTGATACAGACCCAAACTCTCTCTCACACTGATACAGACCCAGTCTCTATCATACTGATACAAAACCAGTTTCTCTCACACATTGAAACAAACCCAGTCTTTGTCTTACACACAAAGACACAGATCCAGGCTCTTACAGACCTAAATAGACAATCTCTCTCTCATACACTCACCGACAAGTCCAGACTGTCTTACACAAACACAGTGATTCTCACACACATACTGACGGGCCCTCATACACACTGTTACGCACTCAATGTATTTCACACACACTGACAGTCACACACATCCTGACACACTCTCGCAGGCCCTACCCTGGGCAGAGCTGTCAGAGTCAGGCCGATGAACTGCCCTGTACAGTGCTGCACAGCCTCATGAGGCCCTCTCCCCTCCATCGGCGCTCCCGGTGAGGCTGACCACACCGTCGAGCCAAAGGAAAGGCTTTCTTTTTATTGAGAAAAAGGCTTCTTCATTTGCCTGGGTCAACCAATGCTGCTTTCAACAAAGTCGTTTTTAATTGAGCCTCGTTTTATTTTTTTAAGGAAACTCCAGAAAAATGTTCTCACTCCTTCTTTTAATTCAGTCGCTCAACAACTTGATGTACAGAAGACGTTAAAAAATGCAGAAAGAGAGAGAAGCAGGTTGTGGAAATTGTGCTCGCTGGGTCTGGACAAGAAGAACTGTGAGACAGCACGCTCAGAACCAGTACCGCCTATATCAGATCACGCTTCGTCCCTTTTCTAAACCCTGACGTGCTTTAAGTATGCGACTGATTGCACAGCGGGCTCACTTGTTTGGTACGGAAAGTCTGATACTACGTCCAAGGCGAAAGAACACTGCAAAAGGAGGCCGCTCAGTGTACTGTACATACAATCCCCGCAAGGTTTTCTTTTTTTAATGAGGTTAAAGAACTGGGAATTGCATGAAAATTTCAAATTTTGTTTCTGAGATTCTTTTTTTTTAGATTCCATTTCTAAAAATTCCCCTGAATCTCATATTAAGGAAAACAAATCTGTGATTCTGTGCAGCTGTTGTCTAAAGAGTATTTATTGAAAAAAATATATAAGAATCAAAAGTTATGAGGATGAGAAATAGCAAATAAGAGAACATTGTGCTGAATACTTATCTAAAGTGGAGAACCGGATGACTAGGGTACATACTGCATTGCATGCAGTACCAGCACAGTAGCTCAACTGCAACTGTGCACACAGAAAACTCGGTCACCACTGCTGGGTCTCAATCTGCTGAAGAGCGGACGAGTCCACTCTCACAGAAGAGTGGGGTGACCAGAAGATTCCACTATCTCACAAACGTGGGGGGGGACCTAGAGATTCCACTGTCATAGAAATGTGGGGGTTGGGATAAAAGACACCTGAAACTGCAAAAAAATAAAATAAATAAAAATATGTATTTCTTTTTATCTCAAACCATAAATGTTATTTAAGTGGACATTGTGATGAAAACAACATGTAAATAAAAATGTAAAGCACACAATTTAGGAAAGAGAGCAAAAGAGAAACAGACCAGCAGGCAACTCTTCTTGGCTGCTCAGACACAATAGCGTTAAATAATTCAGCTTAAGGGCTTCAGGTTCTAATTCTCAAGGTGTCCACTTCAAGAAATGATTAAAAATAAGGATGATGATGACGATGATGAAATAAACAGAATGATGCAAGCATTTTCACTGCGGTGGGGGTCATCTCTGTTTCTCTGTCGTTGCCGGGGGGGGGTGGAGATGAGAGTGTGCCGTGATGGAGCTCTTCCAGCTTACTGAGCCCAAGATAACATCCAGCTCTTTCTTCAGGGATCTCCCACCTGAACCCTCCCTCTGCAGCTCTCTGTGTAAAGGCATGGCCCCTCATCGGGCCCTGCAGCTGTCTCATGCTGACTTACTGGCCTCAGTGCAATCGAAGAGGGGGGTGCTGTCTGACTCCCTGCACCAGAGGGCTGATGGGAGCCGTTTCTGACAGCTCTGGGCACCAGTTCAGCTGACAGCCTGATGAAGCACACAGCTGTCGCCCCCTGACACCTCGTCAGCTAACGACACTTCCTTCGAGGCGATAATTAAAGTGTTTTTTTTTTAAATGAGGTGATAGTATGAAGTGAAAAAGACAAAGATATTTTTACAAGGTGATATTCCTGTGATTCCTGTGACCTGGTGCTGAGCAGGAGGGGTCAGAGAAGTCTCAGAAACAGCGTGAAGGAAAAAATCAGCCCTCCCTGCAGCTCGTGATAACACTTCTGTATACCTGGCTTCCAAGAGCAATTCCTATTTTAGTCCCAGCTCACAGCTGTCTACATCATACCAGGCTTTACCAGCTGCTAGGTTCTTGTGAAGAAGCCACCGTATTTCTTCAACAGGTCTGTCATGAACAAGTCCTGTAGGGAAGCATCTATAGCACGAGTCTCTGTCATGTCAATTCTGAATTCTGACGGCAAGAGCAAAACATTCTTCCACAGTAAACCCAATAAAAACAGACAGGGAAGCACACTTGCCAGAACTGGTGTATGACGACCCAATGGTGTATGACGACCCTCTGAAAAGCTGATCTTCGTGTGCCCCCTGGTGGCCTTGCATGAAATTACAAGGGTGTGCAGAGCACAATGCAGACTTATAGGAAGACTTTGAGAAAGTAACACATGCGCGCTTGAGACCTCGTTACGCGGTTACACAGCTCACACAGAAAGATCTGTACCTTGTGAATTAAAAGAAATGCAGTCCTTATCTGTTTTTTAGGAGGAAAGAGACATTGCAACTGATGCTATAGCATTAACAGCAAAGCTAAGTTCTCAAACTACATTTAAATTTAAAAAAAAGATTTTCTCTTGTGTATATCTACATATCACAGTACTAGATTGGTACCGTGAAACATGTACAGAGACTTTTGGAGAGAAGGGAGGGAACCGATCAAGCTCTGGGCCCCTGCTGTCAGCCCGTCATGAGCTCTGAGACAGACAGAAGTTTCACTTGACTCTCTTCAGCACCATCGTTGCTACACAGAAACCCTGTTTCCTTTTGACACATTCAGACCAAACGAGGGGAGGTGGGCCCAGGAGGCACTGAGCTGCGCCAATGATGCGAGCCGTTTCTGAGGCAGCGAGGACGGGCGGCTGGTGGCCACACCTTCCACAGGTAAGCTCCACAGGCCCCAGCTCTCGAGCCGCCCGCCAGGCTGCAGAGTGCTGGGGAGGGGGGCAGCAGGGGTGTCCCGGGGCGAAAGCGAGAGAAGGAACAGAGAGGGGTGCAGCTGCGCCCCAGTCTTACCTGCGGGAAACTCGGCCAGCATCTCCAGCGCCATGTGGGTGTTTCGACGGCAGGCAGCCACCGGCTCCTCCAGGAGATCGGACAGCGGGGAGAGGACATCGCCGCGCAGCAGCGCCTCCCTAGTGGAGGGCAACACAC